CAAACCGGTAGCATTTCACCACTGATATATATGCATATTAATATATGGCTGATTTCATTTTTCTCCTTTCTCTAAGAATTTGTATGAATACAAAGTACGTATGAGTTGTACATTCCTTTTACTGTTTTGCTGCCCCACCCATTACTACATGTAATGTATTTTTAAATATATTAAGCCTGCATTATTGCTTGTTCACCCTCTTAAGGAATCCCACAACTGCAATGTGTAAGAATGTTTATCATACAGCTGTGCCAAAAGTAAAGGCTGAATGAATGAGATGGAAGATTAAAGCCAGTAGACTGAACCTGTATTCAGTGACTGCAGTTGTGCGGTTTGCCTCCTGAATGCTGATGAACTTTCATGAATGGTCCCATATACTTTTCAGTCCAGTATATTTTGGGCAATAGTGATTATTGCTTGTGCTCAGCTAAAGCTTGAGATAAATAGCAAAGCTTTTCTTAGCAATCCAAAGCTTCATCTTATCTCTCATAGGACTTCACACTCAAGAATGTGACATACCTTATAGCAAAACTAGAAAAGGCAATATGTACCTTGGTTTCTCTGAAGATCTGAAAACAGCCAGGAGTAGCATGAAACCAGACAATTCAACAAACTGAGAATTTGTTTAAATAAGTCACTGTTTTCTATAGCAATGCAACCAGCTCAAATATTCTTTTATCATTCAACAAGCAGGTATAATTGATTATGCTTAAATTCAGACGGTGCTCCTGTTTTGTGTAGGTATCCGAATCTTAAAATGATATTGTGAAACCATTTTATTATCTTGGGTCAATGAGGTATGTTTGCATATTTATTTAAATCTAAGAGTTTTAGAGTTTCATTTCTTAAATTATTTGCCTGATGATTGTTTTAGCTTAAGGACTATATTTCCTGCAGTTATGACATTAAAGAAACAAATGAGTGCAACAGTGCAAAGAAGGCAACTGAAAAATCACAGGGAATTGTAATTTCTAAATTTCATTGAATACTCCCCCCCCCCCCCCCCCGAAAATGTAATTTTAGTGGTATGTCAGACATTTCTTTCTTAGTTCTTGCTTTTGGTCTCCAGAAGTTGCTTTCAGTAATAATATATTCTATATTTTTCTTTAATCAAAACAGAGCCAAAGTATTTTTGGAGAGAGAACGATAGATAGATAAATAGATAGGTATCTATCTATCTATCTATCTATCTATCTATCTATCTATCTATCTATCTATCTATCTATCTAGTCAAGGCTATAGGAACTAATGGATCCTTCCTCAGTAGCAGCAAGTGATCAATTATATGTCTCTGAAAATAATCCAGTTGTGAAAATAAACTTTTGCTAAATACTTGGGTAAGGCTAGTAGAATGATAGTCATTCAATGTTAAGTAACAATTTTTATCTTTGCTAAGAGCCTCATCATTAAAATCAGATATGCGAAGAATGTGATAGGAATTCAGTGTGGAAAGAAATGGAATGTTTTGTCAAATATATTGCATTTTGCTTGAAGTGGGCTTAGAATTTTGAACATTTATTATGATGAACAAGCAAGAGCAGTAATGTTTGTTATATGATTATTCTTATTTGCATTTACCAAACAACGCCAGTGGCATTCTTGAGCTCTTCAGCGTAATTTTGTTTTCATTTTTGTTTAGCTGCTTTCACTGTCAAAAAGAAACAGCCATACACAGGTTTATGGAATAATAAGTTGTTACTTCTACAACAAAATATTGTTATTGTTTGTAATACAAAATTTATGTTTGTAATTTTGCTTCCTATTTTAAACTGGAGGCATAATTTTATTTTTATTTTTTTACTTTTCAAATTATAAAACGTTTCCAAGCTATTTATTATATAACATTTCTAAGGGATTATTGAATTCAGAGAATCAAGCATTCATGAAAGAAGACATGCAAGTTGCCAACTATAGTATTTTACTGTAACTGCATTTTGATACTGAATTGGCTTGAAAGTCAGGTCACAAAAGTATTTTGAATGAATTGTGTCATATAAAATACAATACTTCTGCAAAATTGTCACTTCCATGGACAGAGATTTCCTTGATAGCAGAAATACTGCTTTGACTTCCTTGAGCGATCTTCCCATGTGCCACCAATTATGCATTTAGACTCCCTGCAGATGCTGCTGTTCACAAGAACATATGACTTAACCCTGGTTTTCATTAGAAAGTCATTATATGCTAGAGTGATTCACCTTATTAGTAATGTAATGGTCATACACAGCAGTCTTTCTCTAATTGAAGAGAGCTAAATATATCAGAAACAGCTTTATTTTTTTTAAAAAAAAAGACTTTGAGGCTTAATCCAACCTTTTATCTGTTATATTGTTTGAAAAATTCAGTGTGCAATATCTTTACAATCAAAAATGTTCAGAATACTACATAAATGTATCTAGGTTTAATGTGTGTGTGTATTACATAACATCTTTTATATATATATACACACATACACACACACATGCGTGTATATATGTATGAAAATGTTACATAATATATATATATATATACACATATGTGTGCAAGTTTTGGTGTATTCGGGTCTTTTCCCATGTAAGATTGAGAGTATCTTGGTGACGTTTCGACGAGGTCCCACTCGTCATCTTCAGGCTGGTGTCTTCGGCTTTGTGCTTTCCTCACACAAGCATGAAGCCGAAGACACCAGACTGAAGATGATGAGTGCGACCTCGTCGAAACGTCGCCAAGATATTCTCAATCTTACACGGGAAAAGACCCGAATACACCAAAACTTGCATACCCTACCCGTGAAAATCTACAAATACATATGTGTGTGTATACATACATATATATGTAAAAGATGTTACATAATATATATACACACACACACATATGCAAATGTATATGTACATGAGTGGCGCAGTAGTTAGAGTGCAGCACTGCAGGCTACTTCTGCTGACTGCTGGCTGACTGCAATTTGGCAGTTCAAATCTCACCAGGCTCAAGGTTGACTCAGCCTTCCATCCTTCTGAGGTGGATAAAATAAGGACCCAGATTGTTGGGGCCAATATGCTGACACTGTAAACAGATGAGCCGCGGTGGCGCAGTGGTTAGAGTGCAGTACTGCAGGCTGCTTCTGCTGATCACCGGGTGCCAGCAGTTTGGCAGATCGAATCACCACGCTCAAGGTTGACTCAGCCTTCCATCCTTCCGAGGACCCAGATTGTTGGGGGCAATATGCTGATTCTGTAAAACCACTTAGAGACAGCTGTAAAGCACTATGAAGCGGTATATAAGTCTAAGTGCTGTTGCTGTTAGAGAGGGTTGTAAAGCACTGTAAAGCAGTATATAAATGCTACTATTGCTAGTGCTATATGCATATGTGTCCCTTATAGCTTAAACAGTGATCATTAAACGTACGTAACAACTTTTCTGATTATTAAAACTGTACAACGTATCTTATAAATGTTTTTATTAATTTATTATAAAAAACCAGGGTTTGGATTAACAGCCACAATGGAAACAAAAATTTATATGGTATATAATCACATTATCTGAGCTAAAACAAGTTTATCTTTAAGGCTTTTGTTTACAGTAACAAAAAAGTAGAGCTGGGTTACATAAAAAGTAGGATATGTTACACAAAAAATTAAATGTTTCTTTTAGACTGAAAAACCAGGGTCTCAAATGCTGTTAAGAGTCAGACAGATTTGTACAGAATGAGATGGAACTTCTTAATCACCAGAGATAAATTCTAGCTGGGTGTTTTAAATGGGGCATAAAAAATGAATTGTTGCCAATGGGGCGAGATGAATTTGGTCTTTGATGCTGGTGATTTCTTTAAAAGGTTCACATAAATTAAATGTTTCTTGTATATCTTTTTAGAATGCTTGTATTATTCATAAAAGGTTAGCTTGTTTATTATCTTTTTATTGCAACCTGAGTGTAGAATGATGGATTTCCTTAGACCACCTAAGTTTTATGACTGGAATAGATTTAGACTAGGAGTACACTGATTTATGCCTCAGTTCTTGAACCAGTCTGTTATGCTAGTTTTATAGCCTTGTTTACATTGATATCTTACGTCTGTCCTATGTGTGTACCATAATATGGCTTCCCACTTAGTTTCATTGAACTTATCCACAGCTTGCCACCAGGATTTGGGGGATATTCAAGATATTTGTCATATCCAGTTAAAGGAACTGCTTTTTTCTTGTTCCTGCTCTTTAATATTTCTGAGAACTAATCCCCAGAACAGAGACACTGCTGGACTATACTATAAATTTTCACAATAAAACGATAAATATAACATAGATCCTTATGTCCTGTACAGTTCAAGGTTGACCAATAACTACTGTACTTTTCGGAGTATAAGACACACTTCCCCCCCCCCAAAAAAGTGGGTGGAAATGTCTGTGCGTTTTATACAGCGAATGTTGCCAAAAGCCTAGCCCACCCGCTGGCTCCCACCTTTCGGCCTCTGCCTCTCAGCAATTTACCCATCGGTGTTGTCGCCCCCCCATTGCCTCTGTCACCTATCGCTGCCTCCGCGTGTCCTATTTTCGGCCTCTGCGCATCCCGTTTTCAGTCTCCCATTTTTGGCCTGTTCCAGGTGGTGGGGATAGTCGGCAGCAGCGATCCCCACAGCCCGGAACAGCTGATAGGAGGTATTCCGGGAGGCAGATCCAACCGCTAATCAGCTACTCGTGCTAAATCAGGCTTTGCTGAAGCTGACCATACTGTTTGCTGTTTGCTGCAAGGAGGCAAATTGCTGGGAAGCAGAGGCAGATTTTTTTTTCTTCTTTTCCTCCCCAAAACCTAGGTGTGTCTTATACTCCCCAAAAGCTAGGTGCGTTTTATAGTCCAAAAAATATGGTAGTTTACATTTCCTTTCCTCAACATATGGATGATAGAGTTCTTCCCTCCCCACAATCAATTTACTCTTCCTCCTTGTCTGTTGCAACATTGGGTCAAAATGACTCTTTTGGATTACGATAGTTATTGACTATGATACCTGTTGCTGGTTTGTTTGTTTTTTCCAGGTCAGTTGGCTGCAGGTACGTGTGAAATTGTTACTTTGGACAGAGATAGCAGTCAGCCTCGAAGAACTATAGCCCGACAAACAGCTCGTTGTGCATGTAAAAAAGGACAGATTGCCGGCACTACAAGGGCAAGACCAGCATGTGTAGATGGTAAGAACTGAAGTATAACTTAACTTAGAACCCATCTAAAATGGAATCAAGTGGTTTATTTGATCATATTGTAAGGAGTTATTTAAAACTGCTCATTGAGTGCTTTAATGCAGAGACGATGTCTTGCTGATTCTTGCTGCTGCCTACATTTGACAACTCTTTTGTTTGTTTTCCGATATAAAGGCTTTAACCTGGTATAAAGCCTGTAGCTTGTTCTGTCAATGTGATGAAATTGAGAAATGTTAGGTCATTTTCTCAGCCGCAACCACATTGACAAATTGGTTGTAGGTCGGCGTTTTTAATCATTGTGCGCAATGATCACCAGACGGCGGGGTAGAATACCACTGCCTTTTTCTGTTTGTTTGGTTTTGTGCCAGAATTATATATATATATATATATATTATATATATATATATATATATATATATATATATATATATATATATATAATCAAATTGGTTTGTGTCACAAGGTAGAAAATGGTCATCCCGCGCTGCAGCATTTTGAAGTGCTACACCTAAAGTTTGTTAGGTGGGTTTTCTCTCATTTTGTTTAAGGGTTAAGCGTTTGCATGTAGTCATCAGCATTGCTGAACCAAAGCTGCTTTTTCAGGAGGCAAATGCACTTTCTTGTTTTTTTTGTTTTTTCTTTTTGAAGACATTTCATCCAAGAAGTTTCTTCAGCCCTGACAGGATAGTGGGGAATGGAAGGATTTATATTCCTTGCAGACAGCTGGTCATTTGCATCCTTTCAGAGGGCCGTTGAAGCACTTGGAGGTTTATCTGTGTCCTCAGGGTCACCTGTGTAGGGCTCCTGGTTCGTGTAATCTGCAATTATTTTTCCTCTGAAAATCCATTCCTACTCTCACATCATTCAAAGGGTGTTGGTTTTATAGCTGTATAGCTAAAAGTCTGTAGAAACTCTACAGACTTTCAGCATTGCTGAAGTACAATGCTCTTCAGTCTTTATGTTAATGTTAATCATATGATGAGCATTCCTGCCTGAAAGTTAATGTGTTGGTGGAGAGAAGCTATAACAGTACTAATGATATTAGAATGGAACTGTTATGTCATACCTTTTATTTCTGCTATCCTTTCCTTCGTTAAAGATGTCCTTCTGTATGACTCACTGCAGATGCAGTGTGTTGCCTGCAGCTTCAAAAATGATGATGTGGAGGGAGGAGGATGATATTTTATTTTAATTTTATTTTATTTTTTTGTCGTCTCAAGTGAGCAGCTCTGTTCCTTCCAATATAGCAGTGGAGCAGAATAATGCAGGCTTGCTAATGAAAATGTATTAACGAATATTCCAGTTACAATTAAAAGAAAACAAAACAAGATTTTTTGTTAAAATATGTGACATTAAAAATAGCATGTTTGAAATACGATTCAGAGGGGGGGGAAGGATCATTCTATAAGAAAGTAATTTTTGATTTCCTTGAAATGACTTATGTTTGAACTATCTTTTTATGAAAAGTGCTGAGCTTTCATAAATAATTCATAAAAATTTGAAAAAAAAAAAACCACCATCAAAAAGCAATATAAAGGGTACTTCATTGCTAAATATGAAATATTATTTAATCTATTTTTGTGTTTTGCTTTCAATCTTGTTGATTTTCTGGTTGCTATTTGAATTCTTCTCGTCACATATTACTATGGTATGTTTAATCATTCTCCTTTCCATATGACACCCCACATTCAATGAAAATAATTTTCTGAGCTGAATAATTTATCTCCAGCTTTCCTCTAAGTGAATAGATTAGTTTTGAAAATCTTGCAAATCTTTACTCTGGAAAAGCAGATATAGGTATGGGGAACATAGTTCATCATATATTTATAATTTTGGAACTACTTAAGTTGAATAAGTGGCATGGGGCCAGGTTATCTGAGGATAGTTACCACCCAATTACCTCTGCTCATCCTAGTGGAAGAGGTGGGCTGTGGGTCCGTTTCTAAAGAGTTTGATCTGCAGGACCCCGGAAATAGGCCTTTTCTGCTGTAGCACCTGCCCTATCGACACTGGCAATTACATCTGTAACATTTGAGGCACTTATGATCATTGCAAAGAGCATTTAGGTGCTATTATGAAAACAATATTCAATAAAATGTAAGTATTAATTATTAGTATAAGGGTTGTTGACAAATATGAACAATTACTCACCGAATGTATTGAATAGTCCTTTAGAATTATTTTTCATGAAGTTCAAGCCCAAGAAATATTACAGTAGGTGGAAGATAGGTAGATAGAGATAATAGATAGATAGATAGATAGATAGATAGATAGATAGATAGATAGATAGACTTTCCCCCAAAATAAGACATCCACTGATAATAAGCCCAATCGGGCTTTTGAGCCCATGGCAATAAGGCCAAGCACTTTTTTCAGGGTTCAAAAAATATAAGACAGGGTCTTATTGGGGAAACACAGTAGATAGATAGATAGATAGATAGATAGATAGATAGATAGATAGATAGATACGGTAGATAGATATATACGGTAGATAGAGAGATGAGAGAGAGATGATAGATAGATGATAGATAGATAGATAGATAGATAGATAGATAGATAGATAGATAGATAGATAGATATGGTAGGTAGGTAGGTAGAGAGAGAGAGAGATGGTAGGTAGGTAGATAGGTAGGTAGGTAGGTAGGTAGGTAGGAGAGAGAGAGAGAGAGAGAGAGAGAGATGATAGATATAGACAGACAGACAGACAGACAGACAGACAGACAGACAGACAGTGTCAGCCATTTTCCCCATTTTGAAGTCCCATTTTGGCACTTCAGGGCTGCCACCCTGAAGTGGGAACAGGAGAGGGGAGGAAGAGAAAACTAGAGGATTGTAGCCATAATAATAGTCTTTCTCTTGAGAACCAAGAGTTTTCCCACCTGATGCAAGGAGGTGGGGGTCTAAGACTGAGTGAGCCTTGGTCTGTGACCTGATTGGATCATGTGATGGACTGCAGGGGAGGGGAGGGAAAAAACTCTACTTTTAATTAGGGGGAAACACGAGGGGGGCTTCCCCTGATGTGCCAATATGACATGCCTAATAAATCTATACTTTGCCTGCCTTGGAGTTTTGATTCCATTGGGTTTGTTACTTAGAACCCTGACAGATAGAGAGGGGGGGGGAGGGAGGGAGGGAGGGAGAGGGAGAGGGGGAGGAGAGGGAGAGGGAGAGAAACATCTCCCAGGGATTACAATGTCTCTTAGTGTTTGGCCATGTACCTGCACTTGGGGGATCTGAGTATATGCTGGAACCTGTGAATACGTTTTATTGAAATACTTGTATTATATTTAAAGTATTTGAATTGATGGCTTTCTTGTTCTTGGTTATTTTTTTTTTTTTTATCTTGGCTGCCAGTTGTCAAATTCATTGCATTATAAAAAGCTGGGGAGATGTAGCACAGATTCTGTATTTGTCTTCCCGTTGAGTTGATTTCCTGGTCTGGTTTACCTAGGGAGGCTGAGAATGTCATACCTTCATCCAGCACTCGTTTTTATTTAATTTATAAACATAAGACCAGAGTACTGTAGAGACAACATTAGTTCCATTCAATAGCTTTATTTATTTCTTGCTGTGTTAGTTTTGAAAACCTACAAGGAACTATAAGTCAAAACTGATTGTTAATTGAATTGTGATTTATGAGTCTGTTACAAAAAAAAAACAGCTTGGTTTACTTTTCAGCTTTTTAAAATTTGTCTTTGTAAGAAGCAATATAAAATATGGTGCACTATAAATAAAAAACAGGAGTAATACATAATTAAATTAATGCGCTATGACTCTGACCCATGAAATAGTTATGGCTGCAGTTGGACTTTAGGTCTCTAATTGCACTAACTCCAATAGTTGCTTTAAATAAAATAGTTGCATCTTAAATGTAAATATTCAGTAAAATAAAATGCAATAATAATAAAATATCTCACCTTACTGTATTCATGAACTGAGCTGACTTGACAAGCATATTTCACATGGCTAAAATAGTTTTATGGGTTGTTGTCCATTATTTTTTAAAGAAATACTCCAAATATACTGAAGAAGACCTATTGACCTATTGCAGGTATTTCACTGAAGATTTAAGACTTCATAAGGTTAGAGAGCTACCTTTATTTATTCATTTTGTCACCAGCCACTAAAAAAGTAACTACTTTTTTTAAAAATACTGGGTTACAAAAGGCTGCTTGGCAGGTCAAATGTAGGCCGTGGGCCATAAATTGATCAGGCCTGCTATAAAGTTAAAGGTAAAGGTTCCCCTCACACATATGTGCTAGTCGTTCCCGACTCTAGGGGGCGGTGCTCATCTCCGTTTCAAAGCCAAAGAGCCAGCACTGTCTGAAGACGTCTCCATGGTCATGTGGCCGGCATGACTAAACACCAAAGGCACACAGAACACTGTTATCTTCCCACCAAAGGTGGTCCCTATTTTTCTACTTGCATTTTTTACGTGCTTTCGAACTGCTAGGTTGGCAGAAGCTGGGACAAGTAACGGGAGCTCACTCCGTTACGGGGCACTAGGGATTCGAATTGCTGAACTGCCGACCTTTTGATCGACAAGCTCAGCATCTTAGCCACTTTACCTTTATTTATTTTACTTTATTTTTATAAAGCCACTTTTTACCTTTATTTATTTAGATTTACACAATTGCTAAATCAACATTTGATTGGTGGTAAAGAAGAATGAAAATTAGCAATATTTTTTTTTAACAATTAAACAATAAAAGAAATCAGGTTCTACCATCCAAGGCTTAACATTAAACTGAACAATGGCCAAAAAAGACCCAGGTTTAAGTGACTTCCAAAAATCCATTGAGATCAGAGTCATCCAAATTTCAGGAAATACGCCATTCCAAAGGACAGACACAGTAACAGGAAATATGCTTCCTAATTTCCATTAGGTAGCATTGTTTAATTTGAGGAGGGCAGATCATGTCTTCTCTATTGGATATTGTGGTGGATATAATTGGAGGCAGAAGGTTCTGCAGATAATCCAGCATAATCCA